CTCTTGCACGTCACTAACACTGAATGAAATAAAATGAGAGCGAGCGAGCGAGTGAGCTGAAAAAAAATGAAATCCGAGTTTTTCTATGCCATCTCTAATGTGATCGGCTCGATGCTAATGTTTACCGCTACAATTTTTAACTAATAAATTAGCATTTTTGACTGGCAAGATGTTTTAGTACGTGTATGTGTGTGTCGTGTTGTGTGTACACAACCACCATGATTCAACATTCACTCCAAACAAAATGCAAATCAATCATCATCATCGTCGTCGTCGTATCTGGACAGGAAAATCAATTATTATTATTTCGATGATGATAGTAATTTTTGTTTTTGTTTCATTTCGGTAGCGTTGAAACAAACGTCGATACTGTTAGCCCAGTGCGGCGGTAAAGCATACATAAATTGCGAAAAATCAAATGGATGCAATAAAATGTGCCTCATGGCGTTCACTCATTCGATCTTTTTCTATAGTTCAACAGTAATAGTTTGTAATAATGAACATGGATTCAACGTTTTTCCTCTCTCTCTCTCTCTGTCTCGCTCTCTTTCTGAAAGAAAAACCCACGAAAAAAATGAGCGTTTGCAAAAAGGTAATAAAATTGATAGGCGTTTTAACATAATCTGTAGCTTTGTGTGCTGCCGTACATTTCACATTTCATTCGCAAAAATCGTAATGACGAGTTTTCGCATGTAATTAATTGTCATTTTATTAATGGTATTGATTGAGTCAATAAAAAAAGGCCATCACAAATAACCAGCGGCACGATTCTCAAACAGATCTGGTTTTTATCGATATTTGCAAATTTTAAAACAGAAAAAAAAACAGTACAAAAGAAACCAAGCAAACGTAATGATTGGAACACACAAACTAGATGCAGAATTAAAAAATTGAACTGAACAGAACTGGAGTTAAGTTTTTTTTTCTCCAATAAAAACCAAACGAATGATGAATTAAAATGCGCGCGATAATTAAAATCTCTTTTTACGTAATCGACAAACGGTTCGTGCCACCCCAGTCAAGCGATAGGATTGCAAATCTGCACGCATTCAAATTCGCATGGCATGATATTGACAAAACTGGGAAAATGAATGCAATCCAAATTCCAAAATCCAATAAAATGCTTGAAATGACAAGCAGAACTACATGTACCAGCACAACCATCGACGACATCACAACCAAACCGACGGAGAGAGCGAGAGAGTGGGAAATATAAAAAAAAGAGAACGGTTTGTCCTCTCAATAAAAACAAAAGACACATACACACAAAAACAGTACTGCACACAATTCGATACCACCTTAAACGATCAATCGGAATGCATTCAGCATGTAAACAACTTTTTTCTTTCCAGCGTGTGAAATTGCAGAAAAAAGCCTTTCGGGAATCTCAATGCAACAGAAAAAACACTCACAATGAGTGGTGACGAAAATGGTGAATAGCAGCAACAGAAACAGTGACAAAAAAAAGACCTAGAGACAAGTAACTGGCAATTGTAACAAGCAGCAACAAATCATTTTTAATTTAAAACAAACCATGACCCGTTAAGTCTCTATTTAATTTCCGAATTTATCGCACATGCAGTCGCGTGAGCACGGACTATCTCCGGTCGGCCAGCCGCCCCACAGTTACAATATGTGCGCAAATACGAAAATCAGATTGTGAAAATTGGTTTGGATCATCGTTGACTGTGTCACCATTCGTCCATCTTTTTTGCTCTTTCGATCTCGCTCTCACTCTCTTCAGCCCCTCAAACCAATTCCTCTGCCTCGGCTCGGTGTGAGTTCAGCTCTTTCATGAGTGAACTATTGCAAATGGTGCAAGTTGGCATTTACGGTGGTATATCGTCAAATTGTACAATGCAAACAAAAGTGTGTGGATGTGGATGCATGTTTATAGCTCGGTATGCTTGTTTTGTGAGCAGTGAGCACTCAACGCGAGTGCAGCAGCAGCAGCAACAGCAGAAAAAACGAAACCAAACCAAACCAAACATCGAACGTCACTGCAATTCACTGGGAAAAATCGGTAGAATATCAACAAGCGCTTGAAAAGAACCAAAAAAGACGAAGTAACCCAAAAAGAGATGCGAATAAAAAAAGCATTACCCGTCGAACGTATGCTTTTGCATTGGTGCGAAAAATGTTCGATTCGACTTTTTTCTTTTCGCCACCATTCATGGAAATGCATAGGATCAACAACAACAACAGCTTCAGCAACGGCAGCACACGCTTTTCAACCACCAACTCAGCAGCATTGCACATTTCAACTTTGTGCGATGTGCTGCTATTGCTACTGCTGCATCCCAACCACTCACTGAACGTTTGTTTGCTGGTTTTCTTTTTATTTTTGCACATTTGTCGTGTACGAAACACGTATTTCTGCTCGATTTTTTTTTCCGCGTTATTGGTTTCCCCAAAAATAAAAATCCGTGAAACGGTTTTTGTGGGTGTCTCACACATGTGTGTGTGTGTGTGTACGCGCGCGGTACTGAGATAGAGCTGCATACATTCACTCACTCGCCCTCTCTCTGCATCCACTTGGCGATATCATTTTTCGCGTTCCGGATAAATGCAGTCATCGAACACCAAAGTGATTCTCATAAAATAACAACATTCAATTTGCAACGCGTTTACGAGCGCAAAGAAGTAAAAAAAAAAATCGGGGATTGAAGCGGTTATTTAAATTCGGATCAGATTTTTTGTTTGTGCACTCGCCTCACTCGCTTGCTCTCAGTCGCTTTTTATTTCCTTTTTGTTGATTTCTCCCCCGCACGCGCTTGAGCTGTTGGTGCCCGCATTTTATGTTTGGATATTGTAAAAAATCGTGTCGTTTTGCCGAGTTGGTGGTTGCTGTTGATTTAAGTCGACACGATTGTGGCGGTTTCGTTATGTCGAGCACAAAGCTCTCTCACTCACTCCACGTTCCGGAGACCAACCAACTCAACTTGTTTTCATTGGTGCAGTCGATGTGCGCACGGTCCTCTCGCACATTTTCTGCTACTGCCGCTGTCGTTGTTGTTGCATCTTTGTGTGCATCATTTAATACAAAAGTCCAACCGAAGCAAATAGAATCGAATGAACGGCGTTTTTTGCGGGATGTTGCAAAGCGTCGAATAAAATGCAAATAAAAATGTGTAAAAGAGAAATCGACGACAAAAAAAAGGATTGAGCAAACGAACGAACGAAAGCAAGCAACAGCACTCTGAAATCTATATGCACACACGTAATTCGATTGCGTGCCGTGGTGCTGTCGGGTATGACGACGACGACGATGATGATGATGATGATGTGCCGTTATTGCCGTTGCATTTGATTTGATTGATGGTGTGTGTGTTTTTTTTTCATCCTCCGTTTGCATATGATTCGCATCCTTTTTTGTTTCTTTTTTCCATTCGTCTTCATTTTATTGTAATTTTTTGCGTTGCTCTCTTATTTCCACAACCACATGCTTTTTTGTTGCTGCTGCTGCTGCTGCTGTTGTCGCATTGCATTGCTTCGGCATTCTCGCCTGTTTGCAGTTAACGGGTTTGTTTGTTCGGTGGAACTTTAAACACAATATCTACAATATTAAATACCGTGTTGCGTTTGCATGTGCTTTTTTGTGCCTACAACACACACACTGTTGCCGTTGTTGCACCCGAGCATTTTGGTGGCATAACGTTTATTATTAGCGTTTGTTGGTTGTTGTTGTTGTTGCTTTTTTCATTCGAGTGTCGAGATTTTTTTCTCTGTTTGGTTCGTCATGCGTGTGTGTGAGAACGGGGGAATTGGTTGGTTTTTTTCTTTTGGTCTGTTCAACGCTCTTTCGGATCAATTAGTAAGCCGTGAATAATAGCCCATAAGATAATATGCTTCCGTGTCTGATACACGGTCACTCAATTACTCAATTCCTGGCATACGTGCGGCCGATGCATATGCATGCGTAATCTTTGCTTTATATGCATAACGGTGTTTTGTGCATTTTCCAAACCAATTCACTCACACACTTTGTGGAGCGAATCGCAGCAGCAGCAGAAGGTCTTAATCAAACAGGTGGTGTTAGCGCGTTCATTTGTTGATCCGTATGAATTTTTCACCTATTTGACTCAGTCGTTGTTTTTTTTATCGACAGTATTCACTGTTTTATTGTTCGTGATGCTTCTTCCACCGTTAAGCAGGGTGAACGAGCGTTGACTTTTTGTGTGTGGGCGTATACCAACCAATTTACAAGGAAATTACATATTTTTTTCCGTCTACGAAATGCTATTTTCGAAAATAATCATCAAAAAGTTAAATGAATTTTATAATTGCTTCAGTTCAATTCGCACTATACACTCTAAGATCTTTTCCTTAGAAAATTCAATTTTCGAAAATGTTGCCATTTTTCAGATAATTAACGTGCAAGCAAATCGTTGATGTAAACATTATTCAGACCATTCTGTTGAATGGTTATGCCTCGTTGATGCCGCTTCTTTTGCTGTAAAACATTTCAAATACATTGAGTTTTTTTGTCTTCACTTCACCTTGGGCACTGCCAATGGCGCACTGCGTAACAACCTCAACAAGAATTTTCTTCATCTAGCTAGATAGAGCAAGATGTTGTGATAGCGAATACACCGTAGGCACAGAGGCACGTGTGTGGGTTATATCTCATTCTCCAGCTCTTGCGTGTTCACCATCGTTACATCTACATAGAAGTTTTATATCCTGTTCACAATTGATAATGAGAATTGTTCATTTACGATGATGAGCACATGTGAACAAGTGACATGCCATCAAAGCTAGCTAGACTTCTTCTTTTACACGCATTTTTAATATATTCACAATTTGATTTGCTGTCAAAAACGGGAAAAAAGTGAGGGTGAAATGAAGAAAGGGAAGTAGCGCGCTTACTCGATCTTCGTTACAACATCAATATGTTCTTCATATGAACTGATCTAATGAGGGTTCTTTTTCGGTCGTATGAAGAATCGATAATTTTAATTGGCTTTCAGTGAAGAGAATAAATACATTTTCTGTTCGTTTTACTTTTGTTTCACTATTTATTCGCAATAAATAAAATATGTGCAGTAAATAATTCACTTTTACTTTTTAAATTACATTTTGATTTCACTTGATTGAACAATAGGGAATGAAAAATATGATAAAAACGAGGGCAATCACATAGAATTGACACTCATAGAACATAAGAACATTTTATGAGCTCTTTATTCATAACTGAGACGGAAAAAAACTTTGAGCAAAAAAGAGACAAATAAAGTTGCGAGCAAAAGTGACACAACTCAGCATTGAGCGGAAAAGATGTTTTTTACATTTTTCTCGCCACTGGAAAGAGAAAGCGACTAGGTGTCTCCGGCATTATTGTAAAAAGAACTACAAATAAGCCGAAGACACCTATTCGCTATCTTTTTCCTGTAGCGAGAAAAATGTAAAAAACATCTTTTCCGCTCAATGCTGAGTTGTGTCACTTTTGCTCGCAACTTTATTTATCTCTTTTTTGCTCTAAGTTTTTTCCCGCCTCAGTTATGGGTAAAGAGCTGATAAGTTGTTATTTCATTCTATGGGTGTCAATTGTTTGATGTTATCGTTGGTCAACAGTTCAGCATTCAAAATTTTGAATTTCACCATCCTTATGGTTGAACAGAATCTGGAACACAGCCAGTGCGGCCTTTAATCTCGCTCAAATTGTACAAAAGAGATTCCAACGGTTGATTGTCAATGATTTTCTTAATCTGTTCAAAAGAGTAAAAATAACAATACAATTATTAATGTAGAGATTTTCAGTTTTACATTTTCGTTAATATCATGAGGAAATCTTCTTTTTAATTCAAACCAAAATACCTTTCGCATGAACGATTCGCTGAGAGCGGGTGTTCGGGACCAAATGAATGCATGACGAGAACAGTCTTCGAGGTTTTTATTCTCATTTATGGAATAGTATACGTGTCCATCGCATCTATACACCAAGGCAAATGTCTCGTAATCCGTATTTACAACTGTGAAATTCGACTCAACCATATGAGTTAGTCGCAACGACAAAATTTCCGACACTCCTGAAATGAGAGAAAAATGAAATCTATTAATGGATTTACAACTTTATTTCCGAACAATTTATTATTTATTCAAATGCATTTAATTTATCGCGATGAATTTTCTTTGAATCTGTTTAAAATCTTACGAGGCAATGGTGAAACGCTCATTTTTGAAAGAAAATCCAAATCGGGCACGGTTAACGTTTCTGTGTATTTGGTTCGATATTTATGATCGGTAGTGTTAAGTCTGGTTTCCGTAGTCATGGTGTAAGTGAAAGGCTCTCCACTATGGGTGATTTTGAAGATCTCGCAAGCGGGAATATTGTTTTCAGATTGAACACCATACCAAACGCCGCTAAACTGAAACAGAGTGAGATGATTATTATCGATTTGATTTGATTTAACGAAGTTTAATGAGTTTTTGAAATCTGATGCAAAATCTTAAAATCACATGCTCAAAGAATGACTAACAGCTCAACAACATCGAATTTTCAATCAACTGTAGTCAAATTTTCACAGATTAAGCGGATATTTCTGATTTATTTTAAGCTGATTATCAAAATTCAAACGTTGACTTTAGTTAAGCATTGATTAAATTCTTAAACTTGATACACAAAAAACAAATCATTACCGCTGCATTCGATGTAGTGGTAAAAATGAAGTCAAGTTTATTGTAAGATTTAAGTTGTGAGTCAATGTTTTTGAAAAAAGTAAAGATAAATCAGTTAAAAATGTCGAATTTCCTTACCTTATCCATGTCGAATAAGGACATTGGTTCCATTTGGGGACATGTATCATAATCGATACCATTCACACACAAGAACATAAGCGTTGCCAACAATACGACTTTATACATTTTGACCAAATATTTATCTGAAAGAACACAAACAAATAGCGAATTGATGAAAAACAGTCACTTTATCACTAAAAAAAATAAGTCAAGTAGTTAGAACATTGAAATAGAAATAATGAAACCGCAACCACCACGATGAAATATTGATCAAAAACACTGTACCAAACTGATTGCAAAAGCAATGGCAAATTGATGCTTGTCAATATGTAACTGAATAATTGAAACGATCAAATCTGATGCAAAGTGTATGAAGTGCACAGCTAAACTGATTTATAGTTGCAATTTTAATGCATTAATATTCGTGTACGACGACCGATGCGAGTAAAACATACATTTGGTGTTTATTATTTATGTTCCAATTTCATTTTTGGTATTGTCAATGTCACAACAGCAGCACATTTGCTGTCGTACATAAGTTGTACAGCAAGCAATTTCCGTGGAATTGCACCGGTTGCGCGACGTCACACTAGAAATACACTTGTAAATAAACTGCAAGATTAGAAATGATGAATAGGTAAAAAAACCTCCATTCATGTAAACTAATGTATACGACAAATGGTGTATCGAAATGAATGAATCATTGGATTGGGCGAAGAAACGTTTGAATACGAATTTCCTTGTTATTAAGATTAGACTTTGTTCCAATTACTGAGGTGTTAGTAAATAAAACGATGAGTATTTCTAATTCGTTCAATGAGCAACGGTATTTATCAAGACTTAGAAAACAGAAAACATCTGCTTATGCATGTTGTGCAAACTAAAAAAATTGCAACTACATCAATTCCAATAAACAGCGGATGGTTTTTTAGTTCATGAATATTGTTTATTCATCTTAAAGTACCTTGAAAATGTTTTCGTTTCGTCGAAATTTACTTCCAAACATTCAACAGATGCGTTATCTGAGATGCTCCGATTCGACGAAATTCTATAGTTCACAAATTCTCGAACATCATGATTAAATTCTCCTAATTTCTATTTCCGTTTCGATAGCTTTCGATCTGAGTGCTGTTTTCCTAGATGCGTTGAACTTTATTAACCGAATAGCCGAATGCGAAGCAGTTCATGTAATATTTACATTAGAATTTTTTCACACGAATAATTTCAAAAGAGTACATAGCGCAACTTGAGCTTTGCTAGTCTCAGTTACACACTCACTTTTCATTTACCATTCGGATGCGAAATCGTTTTCCTAAAAAAAAATTTCTCTTTGTGTGTGTAATAAATCTGCTCGAGAAATTCGAGTTGATTTAAAAGTCCTTGGGAAAATGCTCTGCAAACAGAATAAAAAACCCCTAGATTGGAAAAGAAGATTTGCTCGAGCGACAACAAACGAACGAGCGAGCGAGTGAATGAGTAAGGCAGCGAGCTGGTAATTCTAGTAAGTAGTGTGGTTTCGATCGATGTCGAGAAGTTTTTCGGTTGTGCGATTTCGGGTGGTTGCTGTGCAAACGACGACGACAACGACGGCTATAAGAGACGAGAGAAAGACATAGCAAGAGGGAGAGTGAGAGAGTGAGAGAGAGAGAGTGGTTAAAATTCATTATAATTCCATTAAACGAATGAAAACAAAATGAATCAGATAAAATTGAAGACATGCAGATGGTTTGTATTTCACAGTCTTCTCTTTCGCATCTTAAAAAGAAATGAGTGTGCGTTAGAAAAGTTTTTGTGGGTTTTTCTTATCTAAGCTAAAGCGCTTTGAGCTGACGCATTCAAATGAGCTCATGAGAAGGCAAAAGAAGAAAACGAGTAAAGAAACATACAAGCAGGGAGAGAGAAAAGAATGAGAGATTGAGGATGCGGTTTGTTTCCAAAAATAATGTAACATGTTTTCGTCGTAAGAAAATGGCAACGCGATGAGCACACATGCAAATTATATTCTTTCTACCAAAAAACAACAACAACAACAAAAAAAATCGAAAAAGACTTTTGTAAACGCGAGCGAGATAGAGTATGACTCGTATTTTTTATCATAAAAACCACTATACATTAAAACTCAGCCGCTTCCGTTGCTATGGGTACCGTCGTCATCGTCGTCGTCGTCGTCGTCGTTGAACAAAGCGGAATTGCCGAAAAATGTTGTTGATACACGTCGCGCGCGTATGGCAGTTTTTCAGAGTTGAAAATTCTGTGACTAATTTCTAATTAGGGCTTCTGCACACATTCGAATTGTGAAAAATCGTCACGTTTGCTGATAGTTGTTGTAGAAACGGCATTCGAAATTGAAAAGAACGAGGGGAGCTACAGTTGTAGCAGCAGCAGCAGCAGCAGCAGTATGAAGCAACCATCGTTCGCACAATACGTGGCTAAAATCGTGACGGTAAAAAGTTCAAGCGGCATTATTTCGTAATGAGTTAGCGTTGTTCATCGTCGTTGGTGCACCTTTTGAAAATCTGTGCGTTTGGCTTTTTATTTTCGTTTTCTCTTTTTTCTTTTTTTCATTCGTGTGCTCGTGTTTTCCGTCTAATATCTCTTTATCAAGCGTCTCGAACCGAAACACAAGTACCGCGCGCTTTGGATACATAATTTATGTGTATTTCTGCGTAGTACTAGTTGTCTGTTGCTCTATCTCATTCACTCGTTCACTCTCTTTCTCTGTGTGGGTGCGTATTGGTGTGTACTTGAAGTATGCTCCGAAAAAAAATGCGAATTTACATGCTGAAAAGCGGCTAAAGCCAAACACAACCACTAAGCAACGGCATCGAAAATCGCGAGCTACATGTCGAAAGTGGCAACTAAACAGTATTACAAAATATCTACCCTATTAGGAGTTTTGCTTGATTTTTGCTGCCGCTTTTTTTCTTCCTTTTTTCGGGTGCTCAAGTTGCGGCATGTGGAGCGTAGATTTTTATGTACGTTGTCTACAATGTACAGAGCCACCAAACGATATGAAGAGAGAGAGAGAGAGAGAGAGAGAGAGAAAGGGAAAAAAGGGACTCATTCCATAAATTCATAGTTAGGCAATGTGGCACTTAAATGTGAATTTTTTTCGGTGAGCGTGTATTTGTGCCCTTTTTCTCACTCTCTCTCTCTCTTTCTCTCGGAAAACTGATGATATGAAATGATATACGTAGTGCTTTGATTCCGCAATATGTGGAATTCATCACGGTGTGCTGCTGCTTCATCGTCATTGTCGTCGTCGTGGTGGTTGTCGATGCTCAGGCATCATACATCGTCGTAGGCGCGCTTTCTCTCTTTCTCTCACTCACTAACTCAACCGAACGGCTCTTCTCGAGTGCTACCCCGCGCGCGCTCATGCTAATATGAGAATAGGCAGCCGAAACATTATTTGTATTGTACATAAAAATCTAGAAAGAGTGGAATAGCTTGTCTAAATACATATTATTACCGGATACTCTTGTTATGTGTGCGCTTTTTTATGCGCTCGACTCATTTGTGTTTGCATGTGGAAATTGTGTTTGCGTGCGTGCGGGGGAGAAATGTGTATATATGAGAGCGCGCAAACGAGAGAGAGATAGAGAGAGTGCGAGCGCAGAAGAGAGCGAGTGTGACGAACGAGATTGGTTTTTAACTATAGAGACGTGGATGGTTTTTAAGCATTTTATTCTGCCGTAAAGTTTTTTTTAATACTTTTTTTTTCCTGTTATTTTAAATATTTTATGTGTGTTAATATACAACATATAGCGTCGCGTGGATAGGTATATGGGGGGATATATTGTTGTATAGAGATGGATCCAATGTACGAAATAAATTTTATTTTATGAGATAGTATGTGTACTGATTCGTTTGGGTGGCATAAAAATGCCACGCCCGATATTTTTTCGTTTATTTTTCTACGTTTTTTTTTCGTTGTTGTTGCTCGCTACCGCTATGCTGTACTGTAGGTACTGTTGTTGTATCACTTCGACGCTACTCTTTTTAGAAATGAACGAGAAAAAAAAAACCATCAAAATTATAATATGTACTTTGCGATTATAAAAATATATACCTATCTCTGTGTATGCTGTGCCTGCGTCACTGCCATGGTGGAGAAAAAAAAAAGTTGCGCGCTCGTTCGAGAGACAAATAGCAAAACACAGAGAGCGAAATAAAATAAAAATGTGAACGAGAATCTGCAACAACCATTATTTTTTTGGGGATAAATCGCAACTATACACATGTTATGTATCAGATTTATAAAAATACTAAAGCAAACGGGAGAACGGTTAATGTTCAACGTTTTAACGGAGCGCACTGGGACCATAATCATCATGAGCAACGGCGGCAGTGTGGCAGTAGCAACAACAACAACTGCAATAATAACAACAGATCGGCGAAACATAAAAAAAAAATCGGCTAAAACACAAATAGCAAAGCTATATAATCCGGAAGTCCATTGGAAGGAGCAAATAATAAAATGAATGATAACACGGTTGTTTTTTTTGCAATGTTTTCTGATCGCAAAAGCGAAAAAATGACGCGAGCTAGAGCAGCAATAGCAACAACTATGAAAAAAAAGTATATCGTGCAATTGAATCAGAGGTTTGAATATCTATGTGTGTGTATGTGGCAAAAACCGTCATAAACACCAAACTCAACATAATCTATTTGTTTCTATCAGTTTCTATCGATGTGCCACACATGCTGATGGATGCGACAAAAAAACACACACACACAAATCTGCATGAATACATGCAATCTGAATAAAATATACAATAAAGAGAAAAATTAATAGCCTTTCGCAATAGCAACAGCAACAACAAACCGCCGTGCCGCACACCAAAGATGCAAAACGAATGCGAACGAAACAGAAAAAAAAATGCAAATAATGAGAATTTATTTTTTGGGCCGAAAAAAAAATAATCAGGGAAAATAACTCGATTCAACATTGTTGTTGTGTTGCTGTGTGCGTTTTTTTTTGTCTCCGTCCATTTCTGAATCGTGAACAATACATTATTGGGCCTGGTTTTGTAATTTCCATTGCATCTCATTGATGAATATTTGGTTCTGTTCTCGTTTTCTTTGTTTTGGACGATGGACTGCATTTTATGTCTCCTTTTTGGTTGCATAAAAATCAAATTTTTATATATATATTTTTCAGTCGTGCATTTTTTCGCCTGTGGTTTCGGCGGTAGTGGTGTGACGGGGGTGTAGTTAAAATTTACATTCCATCATGTTATCGGCGGAGGAAAAAAAAATTGCGATGCCTCCACTTCATTCCGTCATTAAATGTGATATTTAAAAATTTAAATAAAAAAAACGCAACGAAAAAAACCTGAACGCGCACTGAAACAAAACACACACGCAAAAAAAAA